AATATGTTACTTCATTCTTTCCTTCCTGTAGTGTTTCTTCAGAGAAGTCTGATATCAGCCTAATTTGTTTTCCTTTATAGGCCATCTGTTTCTTTCACCTCATGAGCTTCATTTTTTTTTTTCCTTTGTCTTGGGATGCTTTAAGCTTTGCTGTTAGGTGCTTTGCTATAGTTTTCCTTTCAGTATGGCAATTGGATGTTCTTTTATCTTCCTGTATGTCTGTTTTCATTTTCTTCTTCATGTTTGGGAAGTTCTCTTCATTTATTTCCTTGAATAGTTTCTCATTTTCTTTGTCTCTCTCTTCACCTTCTGGGATTCATATGACTCTTGTATTTCCTTTCCTCATGGTGTTAGATAGTTATTGAAGTGTGTCTTTGTTCTTTTTTCCTTTGTATCTCTCTTTCCTTTTGTTTTTTGGTTCTTTTTAGATCTATATGTTTGATAGTACTGATTTGTTCTGCCATTTCATCTATTCTATTTTTGTGCCTTTTTCCAGAATTTATTAGCTCTTTCATTGATCTTTTAACAACCCACAATTCCCTTATTTTCTTATTTAAACATTCAGTCTTATTCTTCTTTTTGTTGATTGTTTCTGTCATTCTTTTCCTTCATCTTTAAATTTTTTAATTATGGTGATTCTGAATTCTTTTTTTTTTTAAAGATTTATTTATTTATTTATACAAGCACTGGGTACAGTCAGAAGCACGGGAGGGTGAGAGAATTCACCAGAGCCAGAGCGGGGAGCAGAGCAGGCAGAAGGACCGAAGTACACTGCTGAGGGGAGCAGCGGGCGGCAGGAGAGGTCTGCGCACCATGTGGGACCCTCCTCCGGTGTCCGGGAGCAGCCGGGTATAGAACCGGCGCTGCAGAGGCTGCGGGCAGCTTCCCAACCCAGCGCTCAACCGCTGCACCACCGGGGAGTTCCTGATTCTGAATTCTTTATCTGTCAGGTAGAGAAATTTTTCTGGTTCAGTGTATTTGGTTCTAGGAGCTTTCTGTAGTGTATTTTGTTGTTTCCAGGAGGGCTTTCTTGACCATTAGTATTTTTCTTTCTCCCCATTATTTGCTTTTGTATTTGTTCTAGGAGTATATTCACCATCCCACTTGTGCCAGCAGGCATGACTTCTGGGTGCTCCTACTAGGGCATCAGGGACTACTGGGGTTGGGAGGAGTGGGTTTTCCTACAGCTTCAAACCAGTTGCCTGTCTCTGCTGCCTTTTTCCTATCTGAGGTGTGCCCCAACCATGCTGGGCTGGCTCTGGTGTAGTCCCAGTCACAAATATTTGTGAGAACTCTTGTTGATGTGGGTGGGCTGATGACTGGTTGCCCGCCCCAGAGGTTGCAGGGTCTCTGTGTTCTCTTTGTCCCTCCTGATGTGCACCCTGCCACTCACAGGGCTGGGCTGTGTCTGGCATAGGCCTGCTGGGGTTTGTAAGAACTCTGTTGATGTAGGCAGGCCGATGGCTACTCGTTCTGGAGGTTGTGGAATCTGTGTGTGCCAAGTTATCATCTTTTGGTGAAGCTTCAGTGTGTTGATGTTGATGACTCTGGATGAGGGTTGCTGAAGGCTGGCATGACTGTGACAACTTTGAAAATCAGATAACAGTGAAGTCTACCACATCAGTTGACGTCTCCTTTCATGATAGATTTCTCCTCTGCTGCTCCTTTATTAAGTTTGTGTGATATTCTAAATCCTTTCTTTTCTTTTCTTTTTTTTTTAAAGATATATTTATTGATGCATACAAGAACCGGGGGACAAGCCAGATATGTGGGAGGGTGAGAGGATTCACCAGAGACAGAGTGGGGAACAGAACAGGCAGACTGACTGAAATATACTGCCGAGGGGAGCAGTGGGCGAGACAGGAGAGGTCTGCTGTTCCACGTGGGATTCTTGCCAGCCAGCCGGGATCGAACCGCGCCACAGAGGGTGCAGACAGCTTCACAGTGCTGCGTTCAACCGCCTGTGCTACCAGGGGAGGCCCTAAATCCTTTATTTTCTTTTCAGCAATGTTCACAGTATTTTCACAAAGATTCCATCCTAAGAGTCCATTTTCTTTTCTCATACATCAAAGCACCTCCTCATCCATTCAAGTTTTATGATGAGATTGTAGTGATTCAGGCTCCACTTCGATTCTTGTTCTTCTGGTATTTCCACCACATCACTTCACTGAAGTCTTGACTCCAAAAGTTGGAATCAGTTCCTTCCAGTTCCTGTTGATGTTGATATTTTGATCTCCTGTGAATCATGAATGTACTTAAAGGCATCTAGAATGATGAATCTTTTCCAGTTGGTTTTAAATTGACCTTGCCCAGATTCATGAGATGAATTACTATCTATGGTAGCTATACTCTTACAAAATAGGTTTCTTTAATAGTAATACTTGAAAGTCAAAATTACTCCTTGATTTATGAGCTGCAGGAGTGTTGTGGTAGAATAACATTCATCTCCTTGTACATCTCCATTAGAGCTTTTGGGTGACCAGGCACATTGTCAGCAAGTTTTAATATTTTGGAAGGAATCTTTTTTTCTCAGCAGTGGCATGTGTTCAACAGTGGGCTTTAAGCTTTCAGTAAACTGTGTTGTGAACAGATGTTCAGTCATCCAGGCTTTATTGTTCCATTTATGAAGTACAGGCAGAGTAGACTTATCATTCTTAAGGGCCCTAGATTGTCAGAATAATAAATGATTATTGGATTTAATTCAGAGTCACCAGCCACATCAGCTCCTAATCAGCTTGTTTGAAACTTTGAAGTTAGGTATTGACTTCTCTATGTAAGTTCTAGGTGGCATTTCCAATATAAGGCTGATTTTAAAATGTGTTGTTGTTTAATGTAGCCCCTTTAATAATTGTTTTGGCTAGATCTTCTGGATAACTTGCCACAGCTTCTACATCAGTACTTACTGCTTCACCTTGCACTTTCATGTTATGGAGATGACTTTTCTTAAACCTTGTGAAGCAACCTCTCTTTCTTCAGACTTTTCTCCTGCAACTTCCTTACTCTCTGCATCTTAGTGGAATTAAAGAGTTGGGCCCTTGCTCTGGACTAGGCTTTGACTTAAGGGAATGCTAGTTTGACTTGTCCAGACTACCAAAACTTTGTACATATCAGCAGTAGACTGTTTTACTTATCATTTGTGTGTTCACTGGGTTAGCACTTTAATTTCCTGCAAAAACTTTTCCTTTGCATTGACAGCTTGCTAAGCTGTTTTGCACAAGAGACCTGCCTTTTAGTCTACCTTGACTTTCAACATGCCTCCCTTACTAAGCTTAGTCATTTCTAGCATTCCTTTCAAAATTTGATTTAAACTGAGAGATGTGCAATTTTTCTTTTTATTTGACTACTTAGAGTCCACTGTCATGTTATTTATTGGCCTGATTTCACTATTGTATATATCAGAGTAGAGAGTCCAGAGGAGAGGGGGAGAAGGTAGTACTGTAGCTCAGGTTTGTGGTTTCTGGCTGTCTGGACTGCTCGGAGACATGCACAAGCAGCTGGCAGCAGATCGGGGGGACATGTGGTCTTTGAATATCGGGTTTTCTGGGGGCATCCTAGGGACTTATAGGAGACCCTTTGGTGCACTCCACAGGCCAGATGTGCAGGAGGGTGAGAGGATTCACCAGAGACAGGGTGGGGAACAGAACAGGCAGACTGACCAAAATACACTGCTGAGGGGAGCAGTGGGTGAGACGGGAGAGGTCTGCCGCGCCATGTGGGATCCTCGCCGGCCGGCTGGGATGGAACCAGTGTTACAGAGGCTGTGGACAGCTTCTCAGCATGGTGCTCAACTGCCTGCGCCACCATGGGAGGCCCTATGCTTTTTCATTAAATGACAACTGTGGCAAGTTATATAACCCATCAGCCTTGGTTTCCTCACCTCTAAAATGGGGGATATCAATCTTTTCTATGGAAGATAGTTATAAGGTTTAAAAGTGTTATAAGGTTTAGAAATGATGTGATGCAGAGCTCAACATGTAGTGTATTCTTTGCACCTATGAGGTGAAGGAGAATGTTCTTCATGTAACATATCCAAAACAGAGCTACACTTTTTATTCCCAGAATCTTGACTATCATCCACATGTTTGCTGAAGGCAAAACCCATATGTACTCCTTGATTCCTTTTTTTCTTTTATCCTTATTACCCTCACTCCCATAGTCCCTAAACTAATCTTTCTGAAGTTGGTATTTTTATAATCAGTTAAGTGGATTGAACTGCAAACACTTGGTAATTTGGGGCAAATGATTCTACACAGTGCAACTGAAACATTTCTGTCTCCAGATGCCACATAAGACTTCTCAGGTAACACCAGCTTTCTGACTAGACTGCCTCTGTTCTTCTGTAGTCTATTTCCCCTGTACCATATGGTATCTATTGTAGTTTTTAATGTTTGTCAGATCTTGGCATTTGCTTGAAACCTTTAAAAGTTGGGAATGTTATGACCCATTATTTTATAGAAAGAAAATATTAGAACTTTGATGTATTTTTACAAATTCACCTAAATTTATTGTTTGGTGTTGGTGACGATTGTGTGTATACTATTTTTAAATATATTTCTAAAAAGCATATGATTGTTGTGCTGATCTAAATTTTAATTAAATACCGAGTTATATTTTCAAGAAAAATTCTGTATATATTCTTGTCATCTGTTATCTCTACCCCTCCTCTACAGTTTCACTAAAGTCCTTGTAATTAGCTCCAAAATATCTTTGGGTCTGTCTGTTGGAGGACCTGTGTCGTCCTCCAGATGATATAATCTGATGACAGATATTATTTTGGTCTTTCTTGGTTTCCCAGGAATTAAGAACCTGAATAAATATTTGAGTTTACACAATGAGTGACTCCTCTGAATTAGTAAGGAAAAATATTGACTTCCTTAATTAATGGATAAAAGACAGCAGTTCACAAAAGGATATGAACTATGAAAATGGCCATGATATTAAATAAATTTAAGATTTTTGTTTAAATGTTAAAACTAACTTTGACAATTCTATTTTAACAGGCAATCCATCTCGAAGATCCAAGTCTGTGCCTTGTCGTGATTTAGGCAATTCTGATAAGGGACAAGTAAATATCTTTATTTTTTTATACATTCAAACATAGATTATCTCAGGCTTAAAATTGATTAATGAACTTGTGTTTCTAGCCCATTTATTTAACATTGTTAACAGTTTGTATGTAACATGAAACATTAGTTTTAGAATCCTAAAACAGTATAATCTGGCTTTTGGAAATAAGCTTAAATTTCAGTAGCTAGAAGTGTTGTATTACACGTCCTTTAGGACTTATGAGAGCTTTTGTCCTTACAGACTGCTTTACCCAGGGAACCCCCTGAACCGGTAGACTTCCCAAACCATGAATATAAAGAGGAGGATGAAAAAGAGGAAAATGAAGAAGAAATTCAAGGAGAAATCAGCCATCCTGATGGAAAGGTTAAAAAATTATTTTTTAAAATAAAATATAGTAAAATGAACATTTGCTAAAACAGAGTTGAAATAGCCGTTAGAACTTAAGAACTTCAGTGCTTTGGAGTACAGTCTCAGCCTGATGCTCAATATATAAACATGCAGTTAGTCTAGAGAGAGCAAAAGAAGGACTACAGTTCCTTTGTTTAAACTATTTGTTGTTCTTCCAAATGTAGCTAAAAAACTTTTGTAATCTTGGTACTTTTATTTTATTTATTTTTTTAAAATAAATGTTATTTTTATAGTCCCCATACAACCATACAATTGCAATCCCCTTATTTTGACCCCAATCCCTCCCCTCCCTGCCCCACCCCCCACTCCCCATAGAGTGTCTCTGGTTCATAGTTTTTTGTTGATTTTGATTTTTACTTTCTTACAGTTATTCATTTTCCTGGTCCCTTATTTAAGTTCTCTAGATTCCTGCTATGAGTGAGACCATCCGGTATTTTTCTTTTTCTTTCTGGCTTATTTCGCTGAGCATGATCCCTTCCAGCGCCATCCATGTTGCAGCAAATTGCATGTGTTTATCTTTTTTGAATGCTGAGTAATATTCCCTGGTGTATATGTACCACATCTTCTTGATCCAGTCATCTGTTTTTGGGCATTTGGGTTGTTTCCAAAGCTTAGCTATTGTAAATAGAGCTGCTATAAACATACGGGTGCAGGTGCTCTTTGGAATTGATGTTTCTGTGTCCTTTGGGTAAATACCTAGGAGTGGAATTGCTGGATCATATGGGAGCTCTATGTATAGTAGGTCCAGAAATCTCCACACAGCTCTCCATAGTGGTTGGACCAGTTTGCACTCCCACCAGCAGTGCAGGAGAGTTCCTTTTTCTCCACACCCTCGCCAGCATTTGTTGTTGCTAGTTTTTTTAATATGTGCCATTCTCACTGGTGTAAGATGGTATCTCATGGTAGTTTTGATTTGCATTTCCCTGATTACAAGTGATGTTGAACATTTTTTCATATGCCTGTTGGCCATTTGCATTTCCTCTTCAGAGAAGTTTCTTTTTAGCTCTTCTACCCATTTTTTGACTGGATTATTTTCTTTGTTGTTGTTGAGTCTCATCAGCTCTTTGCAGATTTTTGTGATCAGTCCTTTATCATTAGTGTTGTGTGCAAAAATGTTCTCCCAGTTGGTGGGGTTTCTCTTTGTTTTTGTTATTGTCTCTTTTGCTGTGCAGAAGCTCTTTAATTTGATGTAGTCCCAGCTGTTTATCTTTGCCTTCACTATCACTGCTTTGGGTGATGTGTCTGTAAAGATGTCTTTGATGTGCATATCACGTAGTGTTTCGCCTATATTTCCTTCTATGTATTTTATGGTTTCAGGTCTTATGTCTAGTTCTTTAATCCATTTTGAGTTGATTTTTGTGTATGGTGTGAGGTAGTGGTCAAGCTTCATTCTTTTGCATGTAGCGACCCAATCTTGGTACTTTTAAAAAGTCAGCTCTAGGCCTTACCCTTTCAGCAGCTGTTCTTATACATACCTGGTCTGGTGCCTTTCTCTCTGTCTCTCCAACCTATATAATTTTATCCTGGTGCTTGGAAAGGTTATGAACAGAAAAATTGCCTGGCTGGGTGTTCTAGCTGGAAGAGATGCAGAGGGAAGGGACATAATTAAAGTTTGTTAGCCAGGGAGGTGAGGAGGAAATCTGTCTTCAGGTTATAGAAAACTTACTTTTGCATTTAAGGCTCAAAGTTCTCTGTTAGTTTCCAGGAAGGAGGGAAGGAAAAGAACAACAGTCAAAAGTAGTTAGACTTTTCCTCTACAAATTCTACTGTAGGTTAACAAAGTGTTGATGAGAAAATATTTTATTTTTTTCTTTTTTTTAAAGATTTATTTATTTATATAAGAACTGGGATACAGTTAGAAGCATGGGAGGGTGAGAGAATTCACCAGAGACAGAGCGGGGAGCAGAACAGGCACACACACCAAAGACACTGCTGAAGGGAGCAGCAGGCGAGACAGGAGAGGTCTGCCATGCCATGTGGGACTCTCCCTGGCCGGCTGGGAATAGAACCCATGCTGCAGAGGCTGCGGACAGCTTCACAGTGCGGTGCTCAACCCACTGTGCCACCGGGGAGGCCCAATATTTTCTTTTCTTTTTTTAAATTTATTTTCTTTTTTAAAAAGAATTCCAGCTATTTAATGGAAAAGAAATGAGAAAATGACCACTTTGTAGCCTGTGATGAAAGAAAGGATCTGGTTAACAATTTAGTGCCTCCCAAACCATATAGGAAAGGTTGATGGGATTTCGTGATGAATCTGATATGTCAGGCAGTCCTGAAATCACAAGGACAAGTGCATATAGTACTTCAGAATGTGTTTCCTGAAAAGGCTCATAGCAGCACCTAGAAAGTATTCTTAGAATAATCCAACCCAAATTTAATCAAGCCTCTAAATCTAAATATTATATGTAATACTATGATGGTAATGGGAAAACAACCAAATCCAGAATGTGGGAAATTTAACATGACCACCGACCGACCCACTGATGGGGCTTGGGGATGCTGAGGGACCCTGGAGGTTCTTGACTGCTGCACAGAAATTAATCTTGTGGGAGTCAGAATGGGTGAGTTAGAAATGAAGCTTTATTTGTAGATGATAGTACACCCTCAAGAAAGGGGGTGCAGGCAATTCAAGGAAGAATGTACCTTTGATCTTAAGGTTGCTGAAATACTTAGCTTGAGCGGGTAGGGGCTCACAGGTGGAATTCTGAACGGGTTCTGTCCAGTTTTGTTTGACTGGGCCTTAACATCCTATTGGTGAAGTAAGATAGGAGATTTAAGTGTGAGATAAGGGTCTAAACTGATAAGAGTTTGGTTTGCTTTGCTTAGGGATGTGCAGAGCTGTTTTTTCAGTTACTGGGTGGGGGAAGCGAGGGTCTGCAGCCTTTGAGCACAAAGGCTGCTCTATCCTGTGAGTTCCTTCAACAAGTAATTGGCATTAAAAGGGGTTCCATGTGGGTCAGCTGAGCTGGTGAGTCCTCTCACCTCTTGCACCTCTGGACTACATCCCAGTTCTTATATGCAAATATAAATAAATCTTTAAAAATAAAAAAGAGGGGGGTTCCAGACATGTCAACCAAGTGTTATATGTGGACCTTGTTTTGATTCTGATTCAAATCAACTGTAAAAAGCCTTTCTGTGTGAATTTAGGAAAACTGGCATGGATTGTTATGATATAAAAGGGGTTACTATTTGCTAGGGGTGATTAAAAATCCTTCCATTAGAGTTATCTATTGACATGTTTACAGGTGAAGTGACATCTGTAGTTTACTTTTAAAAAGTTCGACTAAAATAAGTGTTTGGAGGCATAGGTAACATGAGAATGGTGATGTGTTAATTTGAAGTTGATTGTTACAAGTTTAACTTTTCTCTAAGAGACTGTTTATTACGAAAAATTTCAAAGTAAACAATTAGCAAGAGAATTAGGGATATTCTTGTCATGTGGTCTCAGAAGGAAACCTTACATATTGATAATCTTGTGGTTTTTTTTTTTTTTTTTTTTTTGCAGATAGAAAAGGTCTATAAGAATGGGTGTCATGTTATATTGTTCCCAAATGGAACTCGGAAAGAAGTGAGTGCAGATGGGAGGACCATCACTGTCACTTTCTTTAATGGTGATATGAAGCAGGTCATGCCAGATGAACGAGTGGTAGGTTTCCATGGTGCTGTTTTTCTGGTAGTATAAACATCTCTGGAGAAAGGCACACTCATTATCGTTGTCTCTGTAGATTTACTACTATGCGGCTGCGCAGACCACTCATACGACCTACCCAGAAGGGCTCGAAGTCCTACATTTCTCAAGTGGACAAATAGGTAAGAACTTGCTCTGTCCTCTCCTATTAAATCCTTCTTTCCTTTAAGAATAAAATATTTATAACCTCTTTTAAACAGAAAAACATTTCCCAGATGGAAGGAAAGAAATCACATTTCCTGACCAGACTATCAAAAACTTATTTGCTGATGGACAAGAAGAAAGCATTTTCCCAGATGGTACAGTTGTCAGAGTACAAAGGTATAAATCCTGTTGAATTTGTTTCTAGATTTTCCAGTTTTCATGGTTCAATATATGTAAGTCATTTTAAATTTTAGTTCAGGTGAGAAGAGTTCAGAATTACAGAATTTAGAAATAGTTTGAGATATACATACTCTAATATATTGTCAGACTTAAAGAAGGGAGTCTATGCAGCACTTCGGGGAAGGGCAATGACAGTACTTGTTAGAAAGAAAATAAGTTTGGTGAAATTTCAAAGTGAGTGAAACTTAAACAAGGAAAGTTGCCGGTCAGAGTTTAAAAATAGCCAAATAGTTCCAGCATGTGTTTCGGGTAGCTTCTCTTCTCTAAGTTTTTGGATCTCACTGTTCCAGCCTTCAAAGTACTTTATGCCTTTAAGTTACCTGGACCAAATTCTTTAAAATTAGCAATCTCTTTATTTTGAGTGTCACATTTCTTGAAGTTAGAAACTAATTTTTTTAAATTTTATATATATTTTACATCATTCTTCTTTTTTGTACAATGCATGCTTCCTCCTCTCAGGTATAGTCCCCATAGAATTCCCACCACCAATTCACCTGTGCACCATCACCATAGTCCCTTGTGCTCTTCCCACCCTGTTTTGATCCCTCTCCTTCCCACTCCCCTGCAGAATGTCTCTGATTTATAATTGCCTGTTAATTTTGTTTATTATTTTAATTATTTTCTTTTCCTGATCACTTGTTTCTTTCCCCTACATTCCTTCTATAAGTGAAACCATCCAATTATTTTTTTTTTCATTCTGGCTTATTTCTCTTCCAGCTCCACCCATGTTGCTGTGAATAGCATGAGTTTATCATTTTTGATTGCCAAATAGTATATTCCATTGTGTAGATGTATCACATCTTCTTGATCCAGTCACCTCTTTTTGGGCATTTGGGTTGTTTCCATCTCTTACCTATTGTAAATAGTGCTCAGTAAACAGGGGTAGATAGTGCTCAGTAAACAGGGTAGATAACCTTTTGAATTAATGTTTTTGTGTCCTTTGAGTAGATTCCTGGTGGAATTGCTGGGTTATATGGAAGCTCATTTTTAGTAGTTTGAGGAACCTCCACACAGCCTTCCATAGCAGTTGCACAAGTTGGCATTTGAGCAGCAGTATAGGAGGGTTCCTTTTTCTCCACATCCTTGCCAACACTTGTTGTTTCCTGTTTTTTTAATATGTGCTATTCTCACTGGTATCTCATTGTGGTTTTGATTTGCATTTCCCTGATTACAAGTGATGCTGAACATCTTTCCATATAACTGTTGGCCATTTGCATTTCCTTTTTTTAGCTCTTATCCCCATTTTTTGACTGGATTGTTTACTTTGTTTTTGTTGAGTTGCATTAGCTTTTTGTAGATCTTTGTGATGAGTCCCTTTCAGTTGTATGGAGTGCAAAAATTTTCTCCCAATCAATAGGGTATCACTTAATTTTGGTTAATGTCTCTTTTGCTGTACAGAAGCATTTTAGTTTGATGTAGTCCCAGCTATACATCTTTTCTTTCACTTTCTTTGCTTTGGGGGATATGTTGTGTAGTGTTTTACCTTTATTTTCTTCTATATATTTTATGGTTTCAGGACTTACATTCAGGTCTTTTATCCATTTTGGGTTGGTTTTTTTTTTTTTTTTATTTCTTCTGAAACTTTTCTTTTTTTTTTTTTTTTATTAGATAATAAATTTTATTGTTATATTCCCCATACAATTGCAGCGCCCCCATTCTGACCCCAATCCCTCCCCTCCCACCCCTGCCCACTAAAAGTGTCTCTGGTTTCATAGTTTTTTTGTGTTTGATTTTGATTTTCACTTTCTTATAGTTTATTTTTCATTTTCCTGGTCCCTTATTTAAGTTTTCTATTCCTGCTATGAGTGAGACCATCCGGTATTTTTCTTTTTCTTTTTGGCTTATTTCGCTGAGCATGATCCCTTCCAGCGCATCCATGTTGCTGCAAATTGCATGTGTTTATCTTTTTTGAATGCTGAGTAATATTCCATGGTGTATATGTACCACATCTTCTTGATCCAGTCATCTATTTGGGCATTGGGTTGTTTCCAAAGCTTAGCTATTGTGTAACAGTGCTGCTATAAACATAGGAGTGCAGGTGCTCTTTGGAATTGATGTTTCTGTGTCCTTTGGGTAAATACCTAGGAGTGGAATTGCTGATCATATGAAGCTCTATGTTTAGTAGGTCCAGAAATCTCCTACAGCTTCCACAGTGGTTGGACCAGTTTGCACTCCCACAACAGTGCAGAAGAGTTCCTTTTTCTCCACACCTCTTGCCAACATTTGTTGTTGCTAGTTTTTTTAATATGTGCCATTCTCACTGGTGTAAGATGGTATCTCATGGTAGTTTTGATTTGCATTTCCCTGATTACAAGTGATGTTGAACATTTTTTCATATGCCTGTTGGCCATTTTGCATTTCCTCTTCAGAGAAGTTTCTTTTAGCTCTTCTGCCCATTTTTTGACTGGATTATTTTCTTTGTTGTTGTTGAGTCTCATCAGCTCTTGCAGATTTTTGTGATCAGTCCTTTATCATTAGTGTTGGGTGCAAAAATGTTTCTCCAGTTGGTGGGGTTTCTCTTTGTTTTTGTTATTGTCTCTTTTGCTGTGCAGAAGCTCTTTTAATTTGATGTAGTCCCAGCTGTTTATCTTTGCCTTCACTATCACTGCTTTGGGTGATGTGTCTGTAAAGATGTCTTTGATGTGCAAATCACGTAGTGTTTCGCCTATATTTCCTTCTATATATTTTATGGTTTCAGGTCTTATGTCTAGTTCTTTAATCCATTTTGAGTTGATTTTTGTGTATGGTGTGAGGTAGTGGTCAAGCTTCATTCTTTTGCATGTAGCGACCCAGTTTTCCCAGCACCATTTATTGAACAAACTTTCTTTGCTCCAATGCATAGTCTTTGCTCCTTTGTCAAAGATTAGTTGACAATAAATCTCTGGGTTTATTTCTGGATTTTCTATTCGATTCCATTGGTCTGTATGTGTTCTTGTTCCAATACCATGCAGTTTTGATGATTATGGCTTTGTAGTATAGTTTGAAGTCTGGGAGTCTGATGCCTCCATTCCTTCTTTTTTTTCAGGAGAGCTTTGCTATTCGGGGTTTTTTGTGATTCCATATGAATTTCATCAATAATTGTTCTATTTCTTTGAAGAATGACATTGAAATTTTGATTGGAATAGCATTGAATCTGTATATTGCTTTTGGAAGGATGGCCATTTTAATAATGTTTATTCTTCCAATCCATGAGCAGGGGATATCTCTCCATTTCTTTGTGTCTTCTTCTATTTCTTTTAACAGTGTTTTATAGTTTTCTTTGTATAGGTCCTTTACCTCTTTTGTTAGATTTATTCCAAATATTTGATTTTTTTGTTTCAATAACGAAAGGGATGGTTTTTTTGATTTCTTCTTCTTCAGATTTATTGTTTGTGTATAGGAAGGCTACTGACTTTTGCGTGTTGATTTTGTATCCTGCCACTTTACTGAACTGATTGATGAGTTGAATTAGCTTTTCTGTGGAGTTTTTGGGGTTCTCTATGTATAATATCATATCGTCTGCAAATAGTGATAGTTTGACTTCTTCTTTTCCTATTTGGATTCCTTGGATGTCTTTCTTTTGTCTTACTGCCCTGGCTAGGACTTACAGTATTATATTGAAAAGCAGTGTGAGAGTGGACATCCTTGTCTTGTTCCAGATCTTAATGGAATTGCTTTCAGCTTTTCACCATTGAGAATGATACTGGCTGTTGGCTTGTCATAGATGGCCTTTATGGTGTTAAGGTATGTTCCTTGTATCCAAGAATTTCAAGGGCTTTTATCATGAATGGGTGTTGCACTTTGTCGAAAGCTTTCTCAGCATCTATTGATATTATCATATGGTTTTTATATTTCTTTTTGTTGATGTGTTGGATAACGTTGATTGATTTTCGATGTTAAACCATCCTTGTGTCCCCTGGAATGAATCCTACTTGGTCGTGGTGAATTATCTTATGGATACATTGTTGATTCTGATAGCTAAAATTTTATTGAGGATTTTGCATCAGTGTTCATTAGGGAGATTGGCCTGTAGTTTTCCTTTTTGTGTTGTCCTTGTTCGGTTTGGTATTAGTGTATGTTGGCTTCATAGAACGTGTTTGGTATTGGTCCCTTCTCATTTTTTGGAAGAGTTTGTGAAGGATAGGCACTAATTCGTCTCTGAATGTTTGGTAGAATTCATTTGTAAATCCATCAGTCCTGGGCTTTGTTTTTGGGGAGGTTTTTGATTACCATTTCAATTTCGCTAATTGTAATTGGTCTGTTTAGGTGTTCTATTTCTTCTTTATCTAGCTTTGGGTGATTGTAGAGTTGTAGGAATTTGTCCATCTCCTCTAGATTGTTAAACTTGTTTCCATATAACTGTTCATAGTAGTTACTGATTATTCTTTTGATTTCTGCTGTGTCCGTTGTGATTTCTCCTCTTTCATTGATGATCCTGTGTATTTGTGCTTTCTCCCTTTTTTCCTTGTGAGCCTGGCTAGGTGTTGTCTATTTATTGATTTTTTTCAAAGAACAGCTCTTGGTTTCATTGATCTTTTGTTGTTTTTTTAGTTTCAATTTCATTTATTTCTGCTTTGGTTTTTATTTCTTTTTTCTTCTACTGGTTTTGGGGTTTTTTTGTTGTTCTTTTCTAGATCTTTGAGCTCGAGATGAGGTTGTTTCTTTGCGTTCTTTCTTGTTTCTTGATGTGAGCTTCTATTGCTATATATTTTCCTCTTATTAAT